TTTTTCAAAATTTCTTAAAATATTTCATGAAATTTTCTGATTTTATCATCATTTAAATTTTGCAACCCTAGATGCGGACGGGGGTGTTATCCCCTCCCCTGAAAGGAGGAGACCCAAGACCCTCTGAAAACTGTTAAATATTTAATTCCAAAAAAATAGAACTCGAGAGCCAATTAGACCAACATGTATTTTTAAGAGAATTTCTTACACTAACCCGGGCTGTCAACAAATTGCACGAATCTGTTTGCCCGATTCTGGTAGTGACTACGGCGGTTTTGCAATTTAATTTCTGACCCCTGGGCCCCTCTTCCGGGGTCCCTTACATAATTCCTTTAAGCAGAAAAATAATCTTTGCTGAGGGAGGAACTAAGCTGGGCCCCTTGAAAGCCGGGCTTCCTCAAATTGCGGGCCCGATCCTCATTACAAAAAAAAAAAAAAAAAAAAAAAAAAAAAAAAAAAAAAAACCCCAGCGTCAGGGGCCCTTAAAGCTCGGGGCCCGGGCGGCTCTAGCCGGCCGGCCGCCCGCTCTATCCGGCCCAGTATGTTACATACTGAAGAACGGTTCTTCAGTATGTTATCAGCTATCAGGAAAGTCCAAGAAAACCCAATTCGGACGCATTGCGGGCTACCTATCACCAAAATCCGGTTTCCAATCTAACAGACCTCGTATGTTGCGGGGAACACCTACCCTTTCCGCGAACGGAAATTGAATAGCAAGGAAAGTGCTTTCGTGTATGCGAAAAGTGAATTGTGTTTGATTTGTGATTGTGTCTTGTTGCCCTAATGGGGATTAGGAAAATCCGAGCTACCTACAATTGCCGTCGCGGTATAAAAAAAGAAAAACGGACTCGTCGCCGCAAACAGAGACAAGTAAGGTAAGTTCGAAGATGCAGGCACTTCTACCATCAAAATTGATCTTCATTACATATTTAGGAAGTTATGCAGATCTCTCTTTTAGACTTCATACATTAATGAGCCTTTATTCAAAACTAGGGGGCTACGCTCCCTGGCCGCTACGCGGCCCAACCCCCTCCAAAAAAATTCAAAAAAACATCACCAACGTTTCGAGGATATTATGTAAATTGAGAGGCTTGGAGAACAAGGCGCATAGGCGCAGTTTTTGGAAAACTGAGATATTAATCATTTCAAGTGAAATTAGTTGTAATGCATACATTCAATGTAGAATTAGCTCCCAGATTCCAATTTTTAAGCATCAAGAAGTCAATCTGAACTTTCTTTTCGCCACACGGATCCATGCAATTTCGAAACTTCTAACACGTATTTCTCAAAATGGCAAAAACTGCACTTATGCGCCTTGCCCTCCAAGCCCCTCAATTAGTCTCTGATTTCAAAGATAATGTGAATGGCTAAAATGCAAAACCCAGCATCTTAATTGCGATGTTGCAAAGTTTCCTCTTCTATTTGATTCTGTAGAATAGAAACAAGTAAGAATTTTATCTTAAAATTTATACGGGATATTTTCCTAAGAGAGAAGGAAAAGGAAGGAATTTTTCAAGAAATTCTGTTGACTACTTTCTGAAAGAAAAGCTACAGTATTATAGGAAGTCTGGAACTTTGTCAGCAGAGAAACAAGGTTTCACCCTCAAGCTATCGATAAATAGGAGGAAACTGGCAATGTTGCACATAAAAGTACATGTTTCTCTGTTTGTACCAACAGTCAGCTTATGAGAAATTTCATTGGACTGAGGAACTTATTTTTAATGGAGGTGCGGGGGCTTCATAGTGCAATGCACCAATTCCCAGATTAATGGGCGTCTTCTAATAACAAGGAAAATCATCATTAAATAATTCTTGTGGGTACTTGCAAGCTAATAATTCTTATTTCAGGAGGCTTAAGTTCTATGAAAGAGAGAAATTGAGTGATTTTCACTGCTTCCTGCTCAGAATCATAATGGGATTCTTGCATATTCCAGAGGTTAAAAGGGAATTTTTTGGGACTTGGCACCTATAATGTCATTCTCATTCCTAAAAAGTAGGAATCGACAAGTCTCTTTTTTTTTGGGACAGGCAATGAGCGCTTTGTTTTGCCAAACCCATCAGTGGTTCTTTTGTCAGCCATACAAACCAAGAAATTGTATACTACTGATATGGACAGGAAAAGTTCAGGTTATCATAAAGTACTGTTGTCAAAATTCTATGGAGGTGATGACCAGAAATGAATTGAAATGATCAAATATATGCGTCCTAAGTTGAAAAACATGCTTACAGATGGTTAAGTTTTAAGACATCAATGAACCATGAGAAAAAAAAGAAAAAAAAGTTTTAAGACTTCTATCAGTAATTTATGTTTTAAACAGAGGAGAACCAACATTTATGTCACCAATTATCAGAGAAGCCCCTCTTTTTGTGGAAGAAATTCAGACATTTCAACAAAACAATTATTGAAATCTGCAATGAGAGGGGAGAATTTTAGCGTTTGAATGCTTTTATAGGCTCTTGAACTTGAGACATGGTGGCTTCTGTCTGAAATTTAGCTACTCGTAATTTTTCTTTCCACTTGATACTGTAAAAGCACAGGGAAATTAAACACGACAGATGAAGTGAGAGAGGTCAAAGAGAAAAACGACAAACGTACCCACTTAGATTAAATTGGTAAAAAGTAGCTTCATTTTAGTCAAGCTGAGACACTTTCTTCAACGATTCAGTTTTCAGTTAAAAATTAACAGTTACTGCAACAAGTGCCTGTTGAATTTCAAAGATCCCTAAACAGTTTTCCAACCAAAAAGCTTTTCAAGACCTAGCAATGTCAATCAGACAATGTAATTTACTAGTTTTCCAACCAACCCTTCAAACAGGTTATGAGGCTGTCGAATGTTTAAGCAGACAATTCGTGTAAGGAAAAAACAAAATTTGAGAAATACTTCTGACCTTTTAATTTAGGTATATTTTAAATTATATGACAATTATTACAAGAGCAGAGGATTATTCCATTTCACAGAGCAGATTCGATGTATGGTTTATACTGAAATGTGCAATGCATACGCATAATAATTTTACAATCTAGGGATTCCTCCTTATGCAGGTTCTCTAGCAGGTTAGCATTTCGGACATATCATTACCTTTCACTTTCACTTCTTATTTCTTTCAGTGAGAGCAATAGCCGGTGGCTTCGTTCGACAGATGGTCTCCATCAAGGTGAAAGCCTTCCGTCACCAGAGGATCTTCATACAACTGCATGTCTTCATTCAACTGAGCATCTTCACGCACATAAAGGGCATCTTTTAACAGAAGTAGGTCTACGAACTGAGCAGCTGAGGTAAGCCCATTCATTTACTCACTAGTCTATTCCGACTTCTGTGAACAGAGGAAAGTAGATATGGGAAAAGTTAGTGGGAATCAGAGGACGCACATTTTTCATACAGAATATTGCAGTAAAATTAGGAAAAGCCTCTACCTATCTTACTTTTGAACTTCTAGCATCTGTCTCAATACTTTTCGAACAACCTGCGTACGTATAATAAAAAGTTGAAAAATACTAAAATTTAATTGAATAAATCCCTACAAAAACACCTCAAGCGGCTGCTGTTTGACTGCCTAGTCTAAAAATAATTTCAAGCAGATAAATACATCAAGTCACCAAAGGTCAATATATACTCAATAACAAATTTTGAGGGAGGCAAAGCAATTGCCTCCCTCAAAAGCATTTGCAATTTAGAGGAGAAGACTACTTTATAGTTTCTTGCCCACATTTCAGCATAACGTTTCATAATACCAATTATTTCAACTGCATCTACGGATTATATAATCGGCTAATTTTGAAAAGTGGGAAAATGTGAGACGTGAACAACCATCATTTTAAGGGATAAAAGGTATTTGAAATCTTCCAGCCTAAGTTTCGTGCTTCGCGTTAAAGCGCGATTCTGGAGTGAAAAATTAGTTCCAGACCATGTTAAATATATGTAGTGGTAACTTATCATATGAGATGTAAAAATCTGCCTGCAACACAAGATTATCGATGTTCAGTCTTCTTTTGAACCCTCTGAGGAGGGAACCACCTTCCACTGGGGGATATCATACCTCAAAAAAATAGAAAGCCATATTTGGACTGCATTTGTCGGAAAGGGGGTAACATTATTCTCAAAAAAAAAAACCCAAAAAGTATCACAAGCACCATGCAACGTTTCAAAATTTCCGCCCCTATTTTATTGTTTTAAAGAGAACTTGTTGGTTGAATCTGTTTCAAAATTTCACTGAATTTCACGGCAAAAAGAAGTTTCAGTGAAATTTTTGGACAGGTACGTCAAACAATTTCCCTCTAAAAAAAATAAAATGAGAGCGGAACTAGAAATATTATCAGATGATGGATAAATTCCTAAGAAATCTAAGAACTTAACTGCTGACTCTAACTGCTGATTCTAACTGCTTGAGCAGTGAATGAAAACATCTTCATCATTAGCTCTCTTGCACCATCACAATCTGTGTGACAAAAGTCAATTTCATCGGAACACCTGCAGATTTCTTGATTCTTTTAGGACTCTATAATTCTATAATAATTAATTTAAGTTCACAGGAACTTTCCTATGACTCCAAAGGAATTGCTTGAGGTGAAAATATACTTTTTAAAGATTTCCTGGGGCCGTGGCATTTGAATAGACTTTGCTTTGTATCAAATTTCTTTCAGATCTCATGGTAGCTACGCGTCATCCCTACAAGATAATCCCTCAGCTATTGAAGATATTATTTTTTCTCTGTTCTTTTGGACTTGTGTCCTTTAAAGACCAGTCGATTCATGTAAGGTTTCCTATGGGAAAATTCCGGCAGAAATACGCAACTCTGAACATTTGATGTTCCATTTTCCTCATCGAATGAAGAATATAACATGATTCAAATAAATCTTTTAAACTTTGATACATGAAAATCAATAGTTGAAAATCATCATAAAAACGGTGAATTACAATGAGTGATCAAATTAAATCATAACCAGAGAATTCTCCATCGGCAATTGAATTCTACTACACATGCAACTCAAATGTTTCTTATTTGCCAGGTGTGATGGCGAACCGATGGACTGGGAACCATACAACTACATTGATACAGATATGGAAGAAAGTGATTCAGATACGGAGGAGAGTGATGCAGATGATGATTATTCAGATACGGAGGAGAGTGATGCAGATGATGATTATTCAGATACGGAGGAGAGTGATGCAGATGATGATTCTGATTACAGCGATTTATGGCGTCAAGTGTAAGATAATTTGTTAACAGTAATTTAAGCATGCATGATTCTCATTTTTGCACAGTGAGGCCATACTCAAAAAGTGGCAGGTCTTTCTGATTTCTATCTCACTTAAAAGTTCCAGTCACATTGATAAAATACAAATAAATTAATACAATAATTTTAAATGAATAAGGCCACAATCTCTGGACAAGAGAATTTGACGGGAGAAAAAATGGAGCATGTTCTTCGATTTCAAACTTACATGGAACATTTATGCTCAATGATTTTGGAATTTTCGGAGAAACTAATTCCTCAGCATCTTCCCTTTCTCTCGGTATAGAATTTGACACATTTTTCAAGTGTTTCACTTCAAAGCCTGATTCATCATACGGCAAAGAGTTAAGCTGAATAGTTCTTACGAAGATTCGTGCATGGGGTACGGGCTAATGTCGTTGATTTTTTTCGATTTTCAGGAGAAATAGATTTTCGGCACACAATAATCAATTAAATTGAATTGATTTGTTGCATGCGATTTTGCAGCTGAATCGATTTTTTGCTCACAAATCGACAATTCTCGGTTTTTTTATTTTTCACAAACAAAAATTTTACTCCTGAATATTGAGGAAGCAATAAGCCTTTATTATTGTTTAAAACTCAAGGAAGTCATCAACATCACTCCAATTCAAGGGAAAATGAAACTCAACGATCAGTGAGGCCAGAATTTCAGAAAAACGAATGGCACAATACTTTTCCTGAAAATCGATTTCACTTCTAGAGCGATTTTCTTGACAATCGATTTTTTGGCCTTAATTTTTCGGCACTTAGTCGATTTTTGGAAGGAAATCGCTCTTTCCGGTTTAATCGATTTTTGGGGAAAAATCAGTAACACTAGTAGGGCATTTTTTGTTAGTTACCATGGTAATACGTGTTTCATTTGTTGTTTGATCGCTGAATTAGTTTCTAAGCCAGAAAGAAAACAAATCGAAGCTCATCCTGAGTATCACCTGGAGTTAAAAAAAATTTATTCCATCCATATGAACCCTCTTCCTTTTTATTCGACAGGTGTCAAAGTGAAACTGATACAGCCAACGAGAGTGATGAAATGATGGATTTGGAAGTCCGCATCCGCAGGCTCTTGGAAAATCCCATTTCTTATCCAGGATCAAAACGTATCCAAAGACGGGTGCCAGATTTTGAGGAAAATTTCTGCGGCTTTCGAGGAAATGCACCGAGTAATGAACAGAGTAACAGTACCGAAAATCAAGGCCGAGAAGAAGAACATGTTCGAGCAGAAACACCCCTTTCAGAGACTAGTGAAATAAGACGGTAATAGTTATAAGACAAGCTTTCAAAATATTTACCCCTGTAACCATTTTTGGAATGGATGAAACAAAGAAAATATGAATACGTAACTGTTGGTGGGGGTACAGAGATTCTAAGTGAATGAAAAATTAAGTGATTGAAAAATTAGATGAAATATGCGGAAAAACAACTTCCCTGAATGAAAAATTCCTTGAATACGGGGAGGCAAAGCCAATATGCTTACCTTGTATACAGACTTTTGCAGGGAAAGTAGAAGCAGAGGCTTTTCCCTTGCCAAACAACCGTTCTCTAGTTGTGTTTGAGTTTCTTCAATTTTTCATTTCAGAACTTGAACCAATACAACTGCATGTTATGTTGCCTAATTTTCTCTCATATATCATTTTTCTGGCAAAGAGCACTCAGCGTCTTCAAACTATCTGAGAATTTACCTCAGCTGATGAAGAATGTAGGATTGAAATTGGAATTTTAGATTTCAGTGATGCTTCTGTCTCTGTTTAAATATACAAATCATTATAGTGGTCAATAAAAGTCATCGTGTCAATCAAACCAAACAGGTGCGGGTGGTGAGATCATCATCACAGAAATGTAGAATTCAAGGGTTACGGATAATAAAGTAACCCTACTGTCAACTTGACACAATAGAAAAACCAGAAAAGAAATAACATTGCTCAATATATTTTCTAGGCTTTAAAATTGTCAGCAGCTGCTTTTTCATTGACATTGAAGACTCCGAGAGGAGAGAAATATGATGAAAATGAAACGTTCTCCACTTGTACTTACATTAGAAAAATATCTCGGTATCTACCGATTTCTGCCCATGCTATGAGAATAACGATGTCTCCTTAAAATTCATTTAAAAAAGGAAACTATATTGGAATATTTCTGCATAAAATTGAACGACATTTGAAATCATTCATGGGTTATAGAGAGCAAAAGTTAGAAAATGCTGACTCAATGACATGTTTTGACGTCCTCAGTGGTGAAGCCGATGTAGCTGCCACATTTCCTGATTTCAGAGAAAAAGGATTAACCTGACTTTTCAAGTTTTTTCCTGATCAAATCTTTTAACTTTTTCGAGCGACGATTCACTGAAGAAACAAAATCCAAAAGTGCATCAGGAAAGGAACAATGTTTTTCAGGCAACTAGAAACCTTCTTGTTTCTTTAAAAATGGACCCGCCATTTGAAGAATGCTGATAATTTTAATTGATAAGAAGGTTTGGGCGGACGTAAGATTGATATATTTGAATTGTTTCTCGTTATTTTAGGGAGCAAGCAAAACAGCAGGAAATCGAGGACTTCGAACTGCCTGTTGCACATGTTCGGCCGAGAGGGACTGATGAAAAAATCAGAGAGGTGGAGGGCAGAAGGATTGTCGACTTGGCCCACTTCGTGGAACAAATCCGCAAACTGGAGGACCACGAGTGCGAAGTCGATCCTCTGACAGGACATCTTCAATTCCAGAAAGAGGAATATCATGGGCTATTGACTGTCTTGACGTTTGCATGTACCTCATGCCCACTTGTTAGACACATTCAAACTGTCACAGGTACTTACGATTGAAAAAATTCACTTAGTAATTTGCAGACTGCCTTAGTCTTTACAAATTTATTTTTATCATGAAATGCTGAGAGGTTTGGAGACTGTGAGAAGTAATTACATGTTTTACTTCACAATGGAAGTCAAGGAAAACTTTATGGATACATGTGAAATGTTGAAAAATTGAGAACATTTTTCACAATTAAAAATGTGATTTGAAGGTAGAATTTTGAAGAGGAAGACAGAAATTTATTCAAATTATGGAAATGACTGAGGAAACTTGGTGAAACAACTATGTAGATACCTAACGATGAAAGGAACACCTTATAAGATGTCTTTTACACTTGGAATTATCCTAATTCCTTGATTATTGCCTAAAACATGGAAACAGTTTTACTAATATCAGTCGACAGAAGCTGCTTAGCAAGAATTCCGGCGTTAAGATCAAAACGCGGTGCCATTTTCATTTTCTACTTGATTTCCTACTCAAAAGTATTTTTTTTCAATTTTTGGATTGGAAAGGAGCCTTACGCTACTAACCTCATCCACTATTTTTTTTTGTTTTTCGGAGCTTTGACAAGGATTAGGTTGGAAGATATTTTCTAGGTTGTCCGAAATAGTGTTGACTTCTTCGTTACTGTTATTGGCCTATTCCCTATTCATATTTCTTGGCAGAGAGCTGATCTGAAAAGGCTTCTCAGAAGACTTGGTTGCCTTCCAAAGAGTGTAGTTATCCATTTGTTTGGCATTTAAACTGGAAATGAACTTTTCAAACTGGTTATTCCTGTGCCCATTCAACCTTCCTTGCACTATCTTATTCAACCTATTATATTCTTAAAGGTACTTCTAAAGAAATTAATCAGGCCGCAGTTCTATCAATGTATGCTGTTGGTAAAGGACACCATCATTTTGAGGAGATCTCGAGTCACCTTGGAATACCAGCCCCAGCATATGGTACCTTCCACGAAAACGAACTATCAGTTGGAAAGGTGAGCTACTGACCTACATATATAAATTTTGAGATCTAATTTTTCTTGATTAAGTGAGGAATATTCGACCTTGTCTTGTTGCAGGGTTGTCGGCGGTCTAAAAAACCGAAAAAAAAACCAGGGAAAGTCAGCGAATTTGATGCGATCCCGGAAAAGTCAGAGAAAATGAGGGAATTTTTGTCGAAGTTCAGAGCAAGTCGGAGAACTAGACAATTTTGGAGTTAAGGAGAGTCAGGAAATTTGAAGATGAAAAAATTATGGCAACCCTGCTTCTGTTGCGAAGTTTATTGAAACTGACAGACATTAGAAATAGGAGCCTTATTTGCAATGAGGATGTTTGGAAACGCTAACAGCTTCATACAGTCAGGGCCAGCGAAATCTGAGCCTGAAAAAGCTTATTAATTCGTCTTATTTGTGAAAATTGAAAAGAACTTGAGAAGGGCATTATACCGTTAGCACTATTAAAGCTGCTTCTATGAGCAGATAAATTTAAGTAATCCTTACATGAAAGATAAGTAAGTACATGCAATTGTAAGAAAGTGCAGTTTGTTCTAAATTTCATGTTTTGGGAAAACTTTGACTTACATCTTACAATTACTCATTGCGCATCGCCGATTTGTTGTATATTCATTATTAATAAATTTCTCAACATTTTCTGTACATACAAATTTGAAGATCTGACTACTAAGGAACTGTATTTATAGTTTGAAACTTTGAAATTCTACAGGACAGGCAGAGTTGTATTGAAAAGTTACATAGGCTGATAGAAAACCGAAATAGAGCAAATAATGGTTTTTTATCTAACGTTACTTTCTACTTTTGATGAAATTCATTTAGTTTACTTAAATCGTGTAGATAGAGACAAGACATATTATTGCAGTAGTTACGCTTTATTTAGATAAAGTTTGTTTAAAAGAAAAAAAAATAGAGGAACCAAAATGCATTAAGTACAGTGGCTGATACGACTAGGAACTAAATTGACCGTGGTCAGATTAGTAAACCTGTTGCCTTTATCGAACTTTGGCGAGTCTTCAAGTATTTCTTGTATTGTTTTGGTTTACATGTTGCATTTCTTGGCAACTAAAGTACTAGTATGAATACACCTAGATGCAAGAAAAAATTTTATTCTTACTTTGCGAATACATTTGGAATTCTGGACTAGTGAAAATTTTGCAAATCGTTCAGCTCTACTATTGAGTCATTCTTCTGTCTCAATCTTGAGCAAAGAGGCTCCATTTCTGTGAGAAAAAATCATTTGAATATGGGACTCGGAACAAAGAATGATCATAGAAATAAAATAAATTTCTTGATCAAAGTTAGCTTTCAGGACTGAACTGATTCTACTTATGCAATCCTGTGAAATTTTGATGGAGTTTGAAATATTGTTGATTGCAGGCTATTATGAAGTGCCTTGAGGAGGACATAATTGAGGCTGGAATTCAAGAGCGACGAATAGCCTTAGGAAAAGGCAACATTGGCAAAGATGGTGTGCCGTACGTGACTGTAATTGCAGATGGTGGCTGGTCGCATCGCAGTTACGGCCACAAATATACGGCCAAATCAGGCTGCGCCATTATAATTGGTAAGGAAACGAAGAAAATTCTATACTTCGGAGTACGAAACAAGTACTGCAGTGTCTGTGCTATAGCTCAGGGTAAAAAAGTGGCCATCCCAGAACACAACTGCTACAAAAACTGGGATGGGACCAGCCCAGCTATGGAAGCTGACATCATTGTGGAAGGCTTCAATAAAAGTGAAGAGATGCACAAAATAACATACATGTACCTTATTGCAGACGGTGACTCAAGTGTGCACAAGAGTGTAATTGAGCGTGTGTCTTATGGACATGAAGTGCAGAAGCTTGAATGTGTTAACCACCTGATGAAAAATGTCAGTAAGAGAATTTATGAATTCCAAGCCACTCTGAAGGATGACACCGAGAAAAAGTTCTTGACCAACAAAAGAATTAAGTGGTACACCAAGTATGCTCGCGGCCTGTTGGAGGAACTGTCCAAAAACAAAGAGCCCCAAACTGAAGTGGTTGCAGTTATCACCAATATGAGCAATCATTTCCTTGGGAATCACAGAGACTGTCGTGCCAGATATTGCCGCAAAGCTGGCACAGAGGAAAAAACAGAGTTTCCACCTTCTTTTTTGGTGCCCCTGGCCAACATTCTGAGCAGCCTCACAAATCATACTACCAGTATTATAGAGAATGAAACAACAAACTTAGCTGAGCTGTACATGCACCTGTTGACTGTTTTCACAGGTGCAAAAGCTGTATTCTATGGCAGGAGGTCAGGGTTTATACTCCGCTCCTCTGCAGCTTGCCTTCTCTTCCAACACAGCCACAGTTGGAGGAGTCGCCTATACAGGCACATGTATCAGCGAGACCCCCCCAAGTGGCTGCAGGATTTCGAGGCCAAACGAGCACGCAAGTTGCTGGAGCAGGCCAGGAAGAGGGAGGAAAACTCTCAAAGACGCTCCTTTGTTCAATACTTTTGGGACAATGACATCAATTCTGATGGTGAGGCAAGCTCTCAACCTCGCCAGAATCTGGGCGCTGATTACGGCATACACAGCCAACAGCCAGACCTTCCACCTGCAACACTGGAGAGAAAAGTCCAAGAGCACTTGAGACTGCTCCAAGTTGATGAGGACGAGAGGAATGCCATTGAGAAGGAAACAGTTGGACAGTCAACTGGGCCCAACAAAACGAAGTGGGAAGGAAGGCGGAAATATCGAACAACTGCATCTTGGTTTGGGGCCATTTGTCTCCTGACAGGGTTTCCAGGAGACCAAGTCTACAGGATGTTAAATTCAAAAGATATTGACACAGATGCTACCCGCTGGGGTAAAACCAAGGAGAAAGTGGTGCGACAGGAGTTTGAGAGGATGACCGGCTTGCAGGTAGACGAGTGTGGACTTTTTGTCTACATCCCGAAAGGATATCTCGCTGCCTCTCCGGATGGACTCATTCACGCTGAAAAAGCCACAATTGAGATCAAATGCCCGTACAGATTTCGATTCACCACCATAAGCAAGGCACTGACATCAAAGCCGAAGCCTCAATTTTACGCCAGTGTTGTAGACGGCCAATTGAAGCTGAATGAGCTTCACCCTTACATGTTTCAGATTCAGGGCCAGTTGGCAATCACATCGAGAGATAAATGTTATTTCATAGTCTGGACACCCCAGGAACTCCTGTACCAAGTCATTGACTTTGATCTCTCGATGTGGAATGAAATGCTTCCAATCTTGGTTGACTATCATACGAACCACATGGTTCTGGAAATCGTTGATAGTCGGAAAAGCCGGAACATGCCAATCCGCCACAGCAAAAACGATCCTGGAGCAAAGAAGGTGGAGTGGGGTGAGAAGTTCAAAAAGAAGAAGCAAATAGTCAAGGCTCAAGCAGCATCAGTCTCGCACGACCATCCATTTGAGATTCTTCGCCGTCCCAGAATCACTGAACTGCCTGCCTCCAAGACGGCACACGACCATTCGTACATAAAGAGGCTCACGGTGTCACGGCAGAAAAAGAGCAACGAGCGCCTACAAGCATCGCCTCAACAAATTCCGCATACAATGGTCCATTTGCGGAGTGCTAACCACGAAAGCTCACTACAATTGGAGATAGGGAACATCCAGCTGATGAACACCTGCGGCTTTGACAGCCTAGCAACCATAGTGGCAAATGCCATAAGGGACTATGAGTTTTATGCCACCCTAGCAGCCCAGGCGAACAACCCTCTTCTTGAATTCAGTTCTCTGATGGTCAACGGAGAGAGCAAGGAAAGGCTCCGGGAATGTCGAGCAAAGATACTGATAGAACATGAGATTGGAAGACGAGATGGAGACTTTTTCTGTTGCGAATCCTTCATGGAGAACGTTTGCTTCCTTCTCGCATCCACCCCTAGTGCTGAGCAAGTGCGATCCTGCACCAGAGAGGAATGTTTGGCAGTGCGGAACCTTCTCCTTCCCTGCATTAAGCTACCCGATGAGAATTTGCTTGACTTACCTCAATTACAAAGGGTTTTGACCGACTGGACGATGGAACGGTTCGATGAGTGCCCTCATTGCAAACAAGAGCTGGCCTTGACTTCAACTAAGTTGGGACATCATCTCTTCATCCTCACAGACAAGCTACAAGACGGATTTATGCAAGTCATCGCTCCAACGCGAGACACAACATTCAAGATCTCAAACCTGCAAGAGGAAATCCAGATTTCTGATGAGAGGTAAGTTTAATTTTTTAGCCAAAATACACTTTTGTGGATGAAACACTACTCGACTGGGTTCTCATTTGAAATCATACACAATGAGACTGATTTTCCAGTAGATATCAAAATTAGTATGGAGCAGTGAATAAGTTTACATAATTAATGCTGTTCATATTCTAAAAGCTATAATAATTCATTCTAGTTTTGTGTTTAACTTTGAGTAAATGATTGTTGTTCGAAGTAATTAATTTTGTTAGATAAATAACTAAACAGAAGTATATAAATTACAGTGATAAAATTATTAAACTAATTCTCTTTGTCTTAAAGATTGAACATTTTTAATAGAAAAATTTTCTAATTGACCAAAAATTAAAAAATAATTAGTTAAAATTCAATTATTTAAACATTTAATGTTACAATAATGTTAAACAACAACAGTTGGGAGCAGAAAATAAGTAGTAATTTTACATAATATTTATAGGAGTGAAATTAACATTTTTTCCACAGCATTTTCTTGGCCTTATAGATAGATATCACAGATACTTTGTAATGTAAGACCACAAAACCCCTCAACATCAATTTGTGAAATTACACTGTTGACCCGCCCTTTCCTCTGATATTACCTTGCATGACAGGATTCAGGCTAAGAAAGAGTAGATCATGAGTGAGCTCCTTTGTAAGCATTTACTTTGGGTAAGGTACAGTCTTTAAGAGCCAGAAAAAATCTTATGAATGAAATGATAGTACCAAATTACCAGCAAACTTATGTCCTTCATTATGGTTTCTTACAGGTTTGTTTTAGCAGGAGTGGTCGAATTTCTAGGGGAAATTGACACAACGGATATCGGGCACTTTAGAGCCTACGTGAGGAGGAAAAGTGGCCAATGGGAACTGCACGACGATAGGTACATGGGCCCAAAAGCGAATCCGGTGATAAATCGCAACATAAATCCTCAGTTAATTGCCTACATTAGGCTTCAGGACAAGTGAACGGTGAGTTACGCCATTATTGATAAAATATTTTCATGAAGTTTTTTTGGGGTTTGCATGTCACCCTGCCATGGGATCAAGATGAAAATTTTTTACATTCTGTGTAATAGTGGCAGAGAAAATACTACAACAGCCCCATTGGAGAAGGAATGAAACAGCTTTACGCTCGGCTATTGATTGCCAGTTAGGTATCTGAGCTGAAGCAATATTCCCAGCAAAGAGGACAGTAACGGTTACCTGAGGAGCTTTGAAAATTGGATGTTAATCTTTGAAAATAGAGAAGAGAAAGACATTCATACCAAATTTGGATAACTTACAACTATCGACTTTTCTTGGNGGGGGGGGGGGGGAGAGGTTCCTCATTATACATAAAACATTGATGTATTGTTTATTCATATTTCAGATTCCTTTAGATGAACGGCTAGCATTTGATAGTTGGAGTTAGACTACTTACAGCTGAGAGGATTGTTTCTCCACCATTGTCGGGCAGTCTTCGTCATTCATCATTCTTCAAGCGTTTTGCCCTCACTAATTTTTGTAGAATTCTTGTTCTCCTGAATTTTAACCTGCAATTAAAAACCAAAAAATTGATTAATGGAGCCGATAGTTTATTAAACTATGATACTATTATGCAACTCAATAGGCTTTAAATCAAGCATTATGTTCATCGATAAGTTTGATTTTTTACCAAAAATAAGCTTGACTATCTAGATTGAAATATTCAAAGACCTCAGTCATGAGCTATTCAATATTTGTGATTTGCCATGAATTTTTCTGCTTTAATGTTCTCATTTCAACAACAGACCTGTAATGCCCAGTCATGTGATATTGTTTTCTTTTCCACGATTCAAGTGTAACGTCTTCCGCAAGAGAACTTTCTGCCATCTGCAAAGCATAATTTTAGATTTTGAATTTAATCTCATGATTCTCTTGAAGCCGATGGTATCGCAAATCTTATTTCAATGAAGTCCCTTGTGATGAGCTTTCTAGCCTCTGTGATTTTCAATTTTTTATGATATGGTGTTTTTTTTAAACAATGTCATTGGAATGTCTACACCATTAGAGACTTCTGCCATGTGCCACTTGAAATTTTCCAATTTTCAATGAGTCTTTCAATGATTTTCTTCGAGAAATGCCATCATAACTTCTATTATAATGGAGACATCTGCGATGAATTATGTAGATAATTTCGTGATGTGATGTTTCCTTTTCAGCGATGAAAACGTTAAATTACTTGCTTCTTTAAGAGAAGACCCCTGTGATGAACCTTCTAACCTCTGTGATTTCCAATTATTTTTTTGTGATATGATGTTTTCTTAAAAGCGATGTATTGTAGGTCTATACTGATAGACTTCTGTCATGTACCACTTGAAATTTTCCAAATTTCAATTGAGTCTTTCAATGATTTTCTTCGAGAGATGCCATCATAACTTTTATTTCAATGGAGACATCTGCGATGAATTATGTAGATAATTTCGTGATGTGATGTTTCTTTTTCAGCAAAGAAATCGTTAAATCACTTAATTGCTTCTTTTAAACAAGACTCCTGTGATGAACCCTCTAACCTCTGTGATTTCCAATTACTTGTTTGTGATATGATGTTTTCTTGAAAGCGATGTCTTGTAGTGTGTATACTGATAGACACTTGTCATGTGCACTTGAAATTTTCCAATTTTCAATTTAGTCCTATAATAATTTCTTTTCAGAGATGCCATTTTAAGTCTTACTTTAATGAGGACATCTGTGATGTATCTCCAGACTTTTGTGATTCTTTAATTAATTTTGTGATATGATATTTCCTTTTCTGTGATGATATTGTTCAATTTAGCCCAAAAGAGACTTCCAAAGTCTCCATGTTAAGTTTTGGGAATTTATTCTTGCACTGCCCCACATACCTCTGTAATGGGTGTTTGAGCCTTGACGACTGTCCATTTCTTTATGTCAAATTATGTTTCCTTCTGAGCAATGAGACTGATGCGACCACATTTTGTTGGTTCCTCTAGCAACGAAATAGTCATGGTCAAGTGTTGTTGGATAACGTAAAAGATACTTGAGAGAGTCTGAGCTTACTAATTCAATGAATTTTGATAAGAGTCGGTGCTTCAGTGGTCAAGTACGTAGAACAAGTTTTAATGGAAATACTGTTAATCAGTGAAGCAACAATTATCTACTGCAATGCAGGAAACTTACTGCCAATAACAAAATTAACAAATGATGAGGTAAAATTGTTGAAAAATATTTTAGAATGTCATCTACTTGTGGGAGGAAGTGATGAATCACTGCTTGCAACTTTGTATCAGTGTTTTCTGCAAGTGGAACCTAAACAGATTTAATTGGTGCTTCACTGAATCTATTGATACACTTGTTACGTTCCTTGCAAATTTCATGACTTAAAATCTATTGATGTACTGCAATTATTTTTTGTGAGGAAATACTTTCCTCTATTTTGTTTAAGATACAATAAAATACTCTTGTCTACTCCATGCAGACTGTCCCAGAAACAATGAGAAGTTTATCTTATGAGGAAACTAAATAGATATTACAATTTACCTTAGGATTAGGTCGATTAATTAGTTAGGAAGTAAATGAAGCCTCATTTGCCCCAATTGGCTGCAAAATTAGCAACTGCTAGAATAGTCGTCAAAATGTGTTTTCTAAACCTCTCTGCTATAATAATATTATAAGGGGAAGAGAAGTTGCAAATGAATTTTCTGTATGGAGAAACTTCAGGGAAAATCTCATCTTACTTTGGTCTGTAAGACTGAATATTCTTTGTCTGATTACTGTGAACAATTTTTTCCTCTCAAGAAATATTTTGCCACAAGTATTGAACACAGTTTCAACTTTTTCTCACACGTGTGAAGACTCTTTCTTGCAGGTGTTTTTATCATAGCATGTTGGAAGAAACCTGTCAAGCTTATTACATATCATAAAAAATACAAAGTCGCTCATAACTCACACTTCTGTCAGCTCAAGCACATGCCAAAAGTCTCAAAGGAAAAGAATTAGGATGAAATGACAGGTAAAGCAGACTTGCCAGGTGTCTCTCCTCCACTGACTCCTTCAAGAGGATTCAGGTATAATAGGGTCAGTTGACTTGATGAATGATTCCAGTTTCCCTCACTCCAAACCATGTCTCAAGTGCTTCAGGAGCAAAAGTAACACCTTGGAATTGAAGTCAGTGTACAGTCTTAAAGATACATAGTGTTAATACATTTTTCTGCTAAGGAATGCACCAAAAATGACTTTGATTGCCTATTTTTTCCGGTGAAAATATATCGCAGAGAGGTTTGAAAAACATGACCGTGGAAAATATTTCTTTTATCAGAGTAAAGTATGCGAGTTCATACTTTCAAGCTAAGTATTTGATCTACAGATCTACAGGACTACAAAATCTACACTTGAATATCCGCTTCTTTTCGCTCAGAAGACAAAGCATTTCATTGTTTTGGGACATCCCATGTAAGATAGATTTATGTATGATAAGGAGAGGTCCCACTATTATTTCAAGCCAAATTCCTTGTTGTTTTCCTTGTCAATTCTTGTCTTTCTTTCCCAAGTTGATGAAAGAGAGGCTAGTCCAAACTTAACCTTTTATACCAACCAATTGCGGTGAACGCATGGGTCGAAAGACGAGATGTTGGAGTTTTTTAGCCAACATGCGTAAAAAATTCAGCTTAATTTCAGCCTTCCTGAATGGACGTAACTAGTGTTGCTCCAAACAGCATAAATCTTTGAGGAAAAATTGCGCTTGTGTGTGAGCTTTTTCCCTCTCTAATGTGATTTCAGCTTTGAGCTGAATTTTTTACGCACGTTGGCTAAAAAACTCCAACATCTCGTCTTTTAACCTTTTATGGTTTCAGTAATCGTATTGTTTTCATGATACACATTAATGTTCAGATATTAATAGACATGGTCCTTAATATGGCGCACTGAGGATTAAAAGCAGATGTGATATTGACTGACAAAGTGACATTTTGGTGAAGAACTATATTTCCCATGATTCGAATTGGGTCATTATTGATTAAACAAGGTGGAATGTGGAGTGGGTCTTTAAGCCATACTTACTCGATACAGTTTACTTCTTTTGTTTCCTAAACGCAACTGAATGGTCCGAGCGGAACCTCTCAAGATCGGAAATTGATCAACTGAAGCTTCTACCTTGTGGAAATCTTTTGCACACTTTCAAATTCAGAAAAATAATGGTTACTTATTATAAATGTTGCATAAGATTTCAACATCATAGAGACGTGGGAGTGTCATAAAGATACTCTCTCAAAAATAGTCCAGGATGTTACTGTTTAGATTGAGGTACTTAAAACAGATCTTAATAGTCATAAAGTCACTGTAGGGACTCTCCACTTCATCAGATTGAATGTGCATGATGAAGGTGACCGGAGCTATTCCTATGCTGCTGATGAGGGTTGACCAACTCACTTGACTTTCCTTTCAACTTGGTAGCAATTGCAACGGCAGCTGCTGTCCGCTAGCATTTCCAGTATATAATGCAGATCGCATGTAATGATTTGGTGATTGAAGCCAGTCACTGTTACCAAGCATTCCATTTCTTGCACTGGTCCTGCCAAAATTAAAATATACTCTGATAATATACTGCTTTATAAATACAATACAAAGTTCTTCTGTCATGGAAGATACGTCAAATAATTCTTGTCTCCCGTTTCCTACGGTTGGAGCAGCTGATCATAGGTCCTAACTTCAGCTTTTTTATCATGGCACCTCCTTACAGATAATATTTGGTGTAACTGTTAGTATCTTAAACTAAACCTAGACATAAGTGAATTTTCGAAGAGTGCGCAGTGTTGGTACAGCTCTCAGAAGAGTCAAAGTTTACAGGGGTCATAGACAAAATGAAAACTGATTGATGATGATTTGATGAAGCAGGTAAATGCTAGAAATGGCATAGAGATACAAAATAACACCATGATTCAATTCCTAATCTTCACATCAAGAGGATGAATTTGGAACTTGCCATTTAGTAGGTCAAGTACGTGAAACTTTGCAATGAAAGCATGAGACATGGCACTACCCTCATAATCTACCAACGAGCCTATGATGTGAGGCAGGAACGTTGGACAGAGACACCGAAGGCTGCATGACTGATTGAAGTAAAAAAAGGGAAAAAAGAAAGTATAATAAGTAATCGATAAGAAACTCACCTTGCCTCCGTCTCGGAGGCAGAGTCATTTCTGAGGGTGAAATGGAGACTGTAAATGAGGATTTAGCAGGTGACCCTTTCCAGGAACCACTCACGAGAAAACTGAAGACATAAATTCACAAGTAAAAGAGATAAAACTAAGTTTGAGCAGCAGAAAGCCATCAAGCGTGACGGAAGCGTACTTTCCACGCCATTTCGCGAGTCTGATGATTGGAGTCATTTCAAAAGTGGGGGATGAAGGCTGTAAATTCGCGTTTACCATACGATGCTTTCGAGAAGCATTCACGGGAAACTTGCAGATATGAATTCAGATCAGAAATAAAACGAACTTTGAAGGCTAGCGGACAGCGGACCTTCGAAAAAGCTCCGCAAAACCGCCAAAACTTAATCCACCAAATAATGTAAATAAATAAACAAAAAATGCTTTGTTTCTTTTTATTACCATTAGCCAATCAGCAGCTTAGAACAATCTGCCGTGGTAACGCGTGGATAACCCTACTTTTTTCTGGGATCAATTTCCAGAACTTCAGAAATTACTTATCTCATTTTTTTTAGTGCGTATGGAAATAAGAATGTTATAGCTAGAACTTATTATACTTCGATTCTAATGGAAATTCCTTTAATTTTCATAAAAGCTCAAGGACTCACGTCAAGGTGTACGGACTCTGTTGACGTGACCCTCAAAATCAAAACACGTCGGTGGCGCCCCCTGCGCGGAGAAATTTCTTACTTCACGCAGCTGTAGATACACCTTAACGGCTACTTTTCGGGAACGTGATTACTGTTACTGCTACTCAAAAATCACAGTGAAAAGTAGCAGTGATTTTTCACAGGATAACCTAAAAATACCGCCGTCTCCGACACTTCCTAGTTCCTTGACTCTGGTCGGATCACATGTGAAAAGTAGCAGGTGGCGGTTATGCTGTGATTTATCACAGGTTAACCTTATCAAACGATCCTTCCCAAATGCTTTCTACATCTTCAAAATTAAAAGTACCACTGATTTTCTACAGCATAAACTCTTTAAATCACTCGTTCTTCTCAATTCCCTTTTTAGTGGTAAAATTGATACTGTAATATTTTATTATCACTGTTCAATCCACAAGTCATAATTTCCGGAACTATCTGTGAATCACAGGTAAAAGTAGCAGTGAGGCCACGGAGTTATTTATCACTGGTTGACATGAAAAAGAGAATTTAACTTTAAAAAACTTCTCGTAGTGATAATCTAGGTGAATATTTTTATAGCTCTCAGTTTTTATCATTATGCCATGTTCTTTAAAGTTAAATTCTCCTTTTTAGGTCAACCATGCAGTGACAGAGCACTCCGTGGGTTCACTATTGGATTCACTGCTACTTTCACCTGTGATTTATCACTGGTTGACGTCACTACCCACAATGCATTGTAATATTCGGAGATTTCACGTGATTGGCTATCCGCCCTATCTAGCCCTATGGTGCTACTCTGCTCTGCCACTGTTATCATGCTGCTCTTTTTAAACTGCTACTGCTCTTTTTGCTTCGTTATCGCAATCGCAGTGTATCCAACTGTGACTATGATTAACCATGTGCAAGCTTATTCGTAAATTTTTTTCGCCGTTTAACACTAAAGTTTTGGTTACTCACTGTTTAACTATCAGCGACTAACTTTTGATGAAAACTGCCCAAAAAAGAGCAGAATAACAGGTGTTCCTCGCCAGTCACAGTGATCGATCACTGCTACTCAAGAATCACAGTGATTTTTACCTGCTACTGCGATCGCGGTCACAAGCCTACATTGTATTGCTGGTGCGTTGTTGTTGCTTTGCTTTCCGTTTCGTCACGTAGTTTCCGGTCTTACTGAATGCAAAAACAATTAGTACACCGTTTAATGTTTCTTGACTATCTTGATTCTCTATAATGACTTCTCCGTTTCACATAATTAAATCATTTCCGCCCCTCGATTCCAACCAAAGTTTTTCTTCACTCAAGCACTTGAACCACCAACTCTTCTGCACGTGGAAAAGAGAAGCAATCACCGTATTCTTGCAAGAACACGATTCCTTATCTTCAAAACTTAACGTAAGTCCTTGGTTTTTAAGCTCCTCAAATGTACGGAAGGAGCTCAGAAGAATACCAACTAAATTACAAACCTTAGGTAGAATTGTTGAGCACATGCTTAGCTCCGACAGTATTAATTACCTACTCTGATTGTGGCTACTGTACTCACTTCTATGTGGCTAAAAATTATAGTGTTACAAGGTTTGAAAATATTCAAAAACTTATCTAAGCTTGTGTTCTTGCTTCTGAGAGAGCCAGATATTTTCATGTGGATAGTAGTGACGCGAAAACGCCTGCAAACGGAAAGTAAAGAAGCGTCAACTTAGCTGACGACACCTCTAACCAATGGGCCAACTGATGCACGGATGCATCCAGACTGATGTGACTTTTGTCTCTTCTTTTCTTTCCCCAGTTCTAAGTACCTAAATTCTAGAAAAGGGGTTGAGACAGATATCTATCATTCTGTCTCTGATTAGATCAGCACCACTCAACATATGCATGCAGTCACATGGCACCATTAGATAGACGCTATTAGTGGCATGTCAGAAAAAAGGGATATAAATCGATTTATTCGCATTGGTAGCATTCAAAGCGGTTACGCCAATGTTATTGTTTGGATCCAATTCGATATAATGGAGAATCCCTATGATGACGTCACCATTAATAGCGTCTATTAGTGGTGACATAAACAATACGTGACTTTTGTCTCAACATATGTTGACCCTCTTCAGTGACCCCAAGGGTACGGATATTTTTCCGAGCTGTGCGGATCTTCCCTATCCTGGCGCGGATGGCGTACGGACCAAAACCTAATGAGAAGTCGCTTCCCTATCTTAAAATATCCGTACGCCTGATGTCACAGAATGACGAAGTAGCCAATAGCAGCCAGAGAAAGGCAGAGTATACGGATGTTTCACACAGAGTACCTGAGAACACTGAGCCTGTTCTTAATGCAACCCAACGGTCCCATTGATCTCGCCAAATTTTTGAGCATTTGGTAGAAATGCTGGGCATTCATACGTCAACTCGAAGGTAATTTGTATAAAATCTTAAAACGCTGAGCGTTGGGCATCAAGTGATTCCATTTTGAAACAGTCTTAAACAAGAACTTGGACACTGCACTAATATTGCGAGTTTGCTTCAATCAAATGTCTACTCTTACTCTTGGCCCAAGTACTTGATGCTTACTCTTACTTTGTAAAGGATGTCCGCTTAAATATCAAATTGTTTTGTTTTTTGCAGTCCTTTCGAGCTAAATGTCCTGTCATTGCTGTTGTGAATTGCGATAGAAATGGTGTAATTTGCATTGATTCTGAAGGCAATGTGTACAAAATAGTGTGTAGTGAAGACGTGAAGAATGCAACGTAAGTTCATTTTCAGTCGATGAAATCTACACTCATTATTTTCTCCCTGAAAAGTTATTCAGAAATATTAGGATGTAAACTGTCACAAAATGTCATTTTTACCATTTGAAAGGACAGCCTCCCAGTGTTTTTGAAGAAGAAAGAAGACATCAGATGGATCTCTCTTTGAGATTATCTGTTTCAGCAATTGCAGTGGACATATAGATTATGTTTGGAGGTTCACTAATTTTCTTACTCTGTGTCCCTGTCTTATAGGTGCGCAGCATCGTGTTCATGCACAGATGTTGGACATCTGATGCAGCTACCCAACTGCAATTGGATCCATTCAAAGCAAGAATGACTTCTGGGCTGAAAAATTAAGATGTTTGCTAACAGAATTGTGTCATTAAAATTTTTCACAGGAAAAATGTAAAAAAATACCAAACCAAACACGGGGTCACATAAGTTTGAAATTGGAATAAAACCTAGTTCTGCAAGAAAGCTGTTAAAAAATTTTTCTTACCCTGTTCAGGACCCAATTATCCGAATCTGAAGTTTCCTTACACGTATCTGGCGTGCATTTACTGCCATTTTGAAACGCATAGAACGTTTTGGAACTCGGTGGACTGCAGCGTGCCGGACTGCGCTGACAGGTGAGCTGCGAAAACGTAAATGGGCACAATGTTCATGATGCTGTATCTTCCTCAATCTATGAGCAAACCTAGCATATGTATGTTCCATTTTCTTCCAAATTACGTCAGTTATTCAAAACATTAACTAAATTCCGGATATTTTCTCATGCGTAGCTGCTATTTAAAAATAACCGCCAAAAAAGGCCTTTTTAGGCCATTTCTTCATAATGGCGGCAGATGCGCACTAGATCCGTGTGAGGAAACTTCAGATTCGGATTCAGCGACCCAAAAAACATATTGTAGGCCAAAAAAATAGCTGCGTACCCGAAAGTCCAGGTAGACTTATCAGGCGCCTGGAGTATTCCTTAGAATCATATTGAGTGTTGTATAATCACAACACAACTTCTCATGTTTTGACCCAACACGACAAAAATTCCTCTGTTAGAAAATGAGTTTCTGTGTTCCAAGGACCTCCTCCATTAGATGTTCCCTTTTTTTGGAAAAGAAATGTTCACATTAACTTTATTTATTTATTTTTTTTCATTTTTTTTCTCGTTTATTCAAACCTAATAGTCTTGTTTTGTTTTTATTTTTGCAGAGGCAATGATGGCCATGACACTTTTATGTCCCCCCCAACCTCACCAATTTTGTGCTCTGGAAGAATGAAAGAAAAGGAGCTTGTTCAAATCGAATTCGTTGAATTCTGCAAATTAAAAGATTGCGGTGAAGTACAGTCCGCAACATATTTTCATGAAATGCTTCAATTAATTGTTGTCTCTAAAATGAACAATAGATTGTGCCTTGTTGCTTACAATGCCTTAATGGAAACTATTCTGGTTTCTGAAGTACCTTGCAACCTTCCAGAAGTGAGACATTTTTTATTTCTTTTGTTTTTCACTAGTAGATACTACATTCTTCTTAGCAGAACATTGTGTTTAGAAAAATGGTATTTTTTAATTTCAAGAACCTTTTAATTTATTTATTTTCAATCTATGAGCATAGCTCAAGCGATACATTTTAAGAGAAAACGATTTTGGATAAAACAGAAACGATTTATGAAAAATATCAGATGTCGAACAGTTTTTGAACTTGATCAGCAAAAGTTTCTTATATTGGAATGAATCTGAACTGGTTAAATTTCATAATGTGATTGGTGTGATCATGAAGTGAGGAGTGTTTTCGGCCTATCTTGCAAAAACATTTGGTTTTACATCTTCCTACCGTCAAGTTCGTACTGGACATGCATAGCCATTCTTATTAATGTCTGATTGCCCTGCCCTCCTTGAAACTGATGTTCATCAAGAACTTTCAAATCTCTCGCTTTCAGTCTGAAAGTGAAATCTTCATAACATTGAAAAATTTACAATTTACCTATCTATTTTTGCCTTGTGTAATTGCTTTCAACTGTATTATGATATCCTGAATTGTTGAGCTTGTCTTGCTGAAAGGTATTCAGGGTGTCTACAAGTCCGAAATTTCCGGTAAGTCCGGAAATAGTACTGACTTTTTAAGGGCGGTCCAGAAGTACTGAAAAAGTGCAGAAATTCCGCAAAAAGATGTGGAATTTGTTTAATTTTTTGTCATTTTTGTCGCAATTTCAAATTTTTGAAATTTTTCGAATTTCGTTAAATGGAGAAACTGAAAAAGTACGGAATTTTTCTGTTGGAGGAGGTACTGAAATTCTCAAGAATGTACTGAGGAAGTACTGCAAAAGTACTTAAGTACTTTATGCTTTAAGCACTTGTTACTTTGACCAGCCTGTTTTAGTAGACACCCTGGTATTAAAAGTTGCAAAAAGATTAAAGGGGAAGTAGCTTGATTCAGGTTGTCTTCTTCGGGAAAGGTGTGGCGACACTGAAGAAGCACAGATTTTGAAAGCTTGATACGGAAATATGGTTCTTAGTGTGTAAACTTGGTACATACAAAAAACATACCTACACCTAGCTGCAGATGCTGGAAAGAACAAATCATGAACTTCATTGTTTTTTCCAGTTTTTCTGTCATTTAATTATGATTTCCTAATGAAAATTGCAGATCCAACCTGAGAAGACCATCATTACAGCGTGTCACTCAAAGCATATCAGTGCTGAAATGAAAAATGTCCTGTTCCCTGCATTACGTCAACCATTATGCACTGAGTCTGGAGTGGTGATAGTTTCCCTATCAAGTGGATTAGTTTTTTGGACGACTTCAAATGATACTGCGGGTAGTCTTCAGCTCCTCCATAAGTGTCATCAATCAATCACCTCCATGAAATTTTTCTCCCTGGGTATTTTCATTTTCTCTCTCATTCTTTCAAATTATCTACTGTGATGCTGAATACAAATTTTGTAACCAAAACCGTTCTGGCAACATTAGCACTCTCACCCACCTCTAATTCATTTTATTTTCCGCACTGGCTCAATTCTTTTTCTTCGTGCCTTTCTTCAATACATTTTGCTTCATAATTAGGAAAAAGATAGATTTCCTCTGCGAGAATTTTGCAGAGAAATGACGAAGTATTATTATGTAGATACATCTCATTCATTTCTTTTTCCCTTTTTTTTATGACTACTCACTGTTTAGGTACTCACTGCCTCTAAAATTGTAGTGAATGATTTTCTTAGTTTAAAGCGTTGAAAAATAGACTCTCGGCCCCATAAATTTCTGGGCAATCCAAGAGACACAATCTTTAGAAAGATTTAAACTTCAGCCCTAATCTGTCAAAACCAGCACAATTACCAAGCACTCCCTCAATTATATCATAATTTTTCTTACAATATTAAGTTTTATTTTTTTCCATTATTTCAGGAGGTAGTAAAACCTTTGATGCATTGTGTTTAGTTCTAAAAGAAGGTCCTGTTTTGTTGCTTTATGCGGATGGTGCGAAACTGTCGGTTAGCACTCAATTTCTTCCGGCTGCGGCAAAGGCAGTTATTTGCAAGCAGAATGGAGCAATTTTGTCCAGTGATTTTACAGACTGTTACTTTAGTTCCTTTCAAATAATTGAGAAGAGTTTTTCCCTTAACACGCAGTCAGTCCCAGTGAAAGGTAAGATCAGGTGAGGGGCAACCGTTACTTTTTAACATCAGAATAAGGACCCTTTGGCATAAAGTAAAGAGGGTCTGGGGTTTGATAGACTGCTGTATTCTTTTACTGCAAAAAGGCAATTGAAAATGGAGTTGAATACGTCAGTTTTTCAAATCTGACAAAAATTTGCAACCTCACTATTACTATGGTGAATAGTGTCCCAGAAAAATTAGCCTATTTGGAGTATGATGCAGAACTACAATTTTTTGTTACCCTCCTGGGTATTTTCTAAACTCTATGTATTAATTATTAATACTGGGCTCTTCCCTCTTCCCCCTCCCCCAATTTTCAGACCTATAAAAAAATTGAGGACAAAAATGGGGGCTGCAAACAGCTCCTAGTGAATGACATCTTCCCTTTATTTCATGCTTTAGCATCCATAAGGCCATTGAGTATTCAGAACGAAATTTAGGGGGAAGCAAAGTCTTCTTGGAGCTATTTGTGGCACTAGCGTTTTGGCATCTGTTGTCTTATAGGCATGAATCCTCAACTATAATTTTTTGTAACTCCGGAACTATTTGTTTTCTTAGAACCTACAACCCCTTTAGATGCAGAATAAAATGATTACTACAGAACTGGCTTTTGTTTAGATCAGAATTTGCAATCTTCATGATTTTTATGTCAAAAGAAAATTATTTCAAGAACTAACGAAAATAACTTAACTCAACCTTGAAATGATACCGTAAAATATACACCCATAGAATCTTTAAGTATGCAATTTAAGACAATTTTCAATACTATGATTTCTAAAGTCCACCAACATTGATATCGTGGTAACTTTGTAAATTTTATATCTGAAGATAATCCATTTGCTTTTTTGTTGTTCGGCAGGAGTCATCCAATTCCTCCTGCCTGTGGATGATGGAAACATTGTTATCGCTGTAACGAAATCAGGCTCTGCCTATAAAATTTTCATCAACAACATAAAACCTTATGAAGTCAGTGAAAGGTTTTCAATGCCCAAGAAAAGAGTGCTTGAGGATTGTATATCATGTTCCAATGAATTGGACAGTATTTTAAAACAGATTGAAGAAGAAAATGATAAATTAGCCGCTATTTCCCTGTCAATGAGAGCTGCAATGCTTCATCAATTTTTCAATGTCTCAATGAAGATTTATTCAGGTAAGAAACATTCTTCTGTGCAAAATGTTGAACGAACCCCGTTTTGTTGATTCAATAATTTCCCAGTATAGTGTCTTATTTTCTCTTGCTTAAAAATTCTATTTAGTGTCTAAAAATTTCTCTAAGAAAGTGGAAAAATTAGGGCTCCGCGAATATTTCAGTTTGAATAATTTTTCCAATATTCAATTCAAACTCAAACTTAGAAACCTCAAATAATCAAATTATTTGACCACATTGACAAAATTTCGATTCTCCAAAAAAAAAAAAAAAAAAAAAAAAAAAAAAAAAAAAAAAAAATTCAAAATTCGCGCCACTTGAGTTCCACCCAATATGTCATCAACATGGCGTACAAATGGGCGAATGTACTAAGACGCGTTGTTAAAGAGAAAAATTGAAGTCAGCGAAATGACGTCAGTCCGCCATTTTTAGTTATCCGCTTAGCGATGATGCCAACTTGTCATTAAACAAAGGCCGCCATCTTCTCAGCAAAACTGGTAAGCGCCCCTGGGAACCAGGCTGAGCGCTGTGGGATTTTGCTGAGAAGATGGCAGCCTTTGTTTACCTCAGCAGATAACTCAGAAAACGTTACAACACTTCGGCTGAGCTCAGCCACTCAGCGGATAACTCAGAGGTTACACTTCTGACTTCAACAACGCATCCATAACCTATCCTCCTCTGCCCTGTGCGGCATCCCGGTCTTTACAATGTTGCTGGACTGTCTGTGTGAGATCAGCATTGATGTGGAGTAAAACTGAATAAAATGGATTTTCGGACAGTAAGCAACAGTTTTACAGTTTCGCCACAGATCAATTAATTGCTCGTCCTTAATTAAAGGAAATAATTTTCTCTCCCTTCTTCTCTTTCCTCAGCAAATCAAAATTATGCAAAACCATTTGATAATTAAATAAATTGATTAATTCTTGATCTTTTTATCTTTAATAGTAATTTCTTTTTTTTAAATTTGAATGTTAGAAATAAAAAAATTATTTATTCGATTTTACTTCCACCAACAAAGAGGTTAGTTTTGGTCGAAAATAGGTAAAAACTAAAAATATTCAATTCGATTTGAATTCGAAACCTTTCCAAAATATTCGATTCGATTCGACATTAAAAAAACCATATTCGCACAGCCCTAGAAAAAATCACACATTGATAACTTCCATTCAAAAAAGATTGCAGGGAGTCCTATAACAATTCTCTGTTGTGGGAAGGAATGAAAGTACGTCGAGACCTCCAATAATTGGATTACGCTTTAACGGATTTTGCCATTTAACAGATCAATCGTATCTTGGATTTCACAGGACTAGCTCTAAAAAATGAGAGTCTGACCCCGAGAGACCTGTAAGCAAGACATCTACTACCGGGAAAAACAGGGAATAGAATTTGAGAGAAAACCCAGGGAATTCAATGTCAGCTTTTGAAATTTTTGCTTTTTCAAAATCCGCGGGTTTTGTCAATTCGCACATAATCAATCCAATGGAAATAATGCAGCAGTGCTCTCTTGCAGAGTGTTTAATTTAACGAATTTCTATTTTATCAATTAATACTTAATTCTTTCCACCCCTCAGTTTTTTTTGTGGACTTACCATTTTGCAAACTTACAGTTTGCTTGAGTTTTTCCAAAAATTTTGGAAGAAAAAGAATAAGTGATTTCTTAGTTGAAATTTCTATCCACAATTACTATCAAATACTGATTTCTGAGATTAATGAATATAATGAAAAAGTGTGTTACAGTCAGGCTAAATGGGACTTATAATTTTGATTTTTCAATTTTCGATGCTAAAAGCTTTCTAATAGTTACTCTCAGTTAATTTGCAACATGAATAATGTTACTAGCTTTTGAAGCAAGGTAGATTTACACAGGTATGGAAAAGTTGAAAATTTCCCATGAGCCTCAGTACGTGTCACATGACCTCGTGACGTAGGTTAAGGGGCCCGTTTTTTAATTAAATTACAATCAAATTAACATTCAAACGTTTGTGCGTTTAAACGCTAAAATTAATATCGTATAACCAAAATTGTGCAAAAAATCCCACAAAATTTTGACAAACGATAAACCGAACATAATAAATCAAAATAATCAAAACATACAAAATGGCTGACGTTAAGGGGCCGCTGGAGAGCCAATCAGAGGCCAGTTGTTTAGTTCTGTCCATACCTGTGTAAATCTACCTTGCTTTTGAAGTGAATAACTTCAAAGGCTGTAAACAGTGGCAGCAAACTTGAACTCTGTATTTCTCAAGTTTGTGTATTATCATTCTCTAACTTTGAAATACTCTCCTACAGTCAATTTTTTAAAGTTTTTTGTGCCAAAATCTGCAGAATTAATCCCTCTGACAAGGGGAGGCTACTGATTGTCCTACTCAGACCGGGTTCAAATGTGGCAGAGAGGTAGAATAGGGAAATGTAAGCGCCCAAATTTTTTTTTCACGCCAATGCCCAGTCGTTTTTACGATTGATTATTTTGTTTCTTAATTGCTCCATCGCAACAAATCGTAAGTCATCTTGTAAACATTATGATGCTAATTATTTTTTTTCTTTCTTGTCAAACAATCATTTAAAAAAAAGAATACATTAAAAAAAATAATTAGCATCTTAATGTTTACTAGGTGACTAACAATTTGTTACGATGAAGTTATTAAAAAACAAAATAATCAATCGTAAAAAAAAGATCCCCGGGACAAGGATGAAACCCAGGACCTCCAATACCAAAGGCGAGTGCGCTGCCGCTAGGCCAACCGGCAAATGTAGAAGGCGGGAGTAGCCTCCATAAGTTGTCAGCCATCAGAGCCCCAAGGTAGTGATTGCTTTTCACCTCTGTGTCGAATGAAAATTACTTTATGATGCCATCACTCAGGAATAACTGAGGGACTTTGAAAGTTGAAGTAAAGTAGAAATCCTTAATAATAATTCTCTATCGTGGGAAAAAATAAAAGTTCAGTCAGACCTTGAACAATCAGATTGCGATTCAACAGATCGATTTGTCAGTCCTGTGAAATCTGATAAAACGAGGTCTTACTGTATTTTTTTTTTCTATTCCATTCACTGGTGTAGTTATGTCTTAAAATTTGTGTTGCACTTGTTTCAATATGGCGTATCTCCTGGCTCATTCTATAAAAACTTATTAGGTGTGGACTTCATCTCATTTGTTTTTAATTTCTTGCAAACATTTTCTCGTTTAGGTTCGGCTGCTGCCAAGTATGGATTGACATGCATCTCCCAAGACTCTCACTCGATTGTAATTCGAATTGTAAATAGGTGCAGTTTCTTTGAGTTCCTTTCCAAATCATGGTTCATCAACGTCATCCTCTCCACAAATTCAGACACTGAAAGTCGAAGTATTCATCAGAACACGAAGCTGAAGCAGTCCTTCAAACATAACGATGAAATCATCATTCATTTTCCTTTGAATTTCACACCAATCTTGTCAGACTCACAGATCAAAGTCAGTCTTGTTTCAAATCCATCCAATGAAAACACCCCGAGTCCTTGGCTTGTGATACCATTGAAAATCATGCCAGTCGATGTTCTTTACTTTTTTACTCCGCTCAAAAATCCTACTGTACACAATTTGGATGCTGCAAATTCTAGCATTGATATGTCGTTGAAAAAATTTGATATTCTTCAAGAACAAAATACTTCAAAAAACAGTCAGTTAACATATTTTATCAAGCTCCCAGAAGAAGTTTTAAGGATACAAAATGTATTCAGCCTGGTTCTAAATTACTCAAAATATCGCTGCAAAGAAAGTGTGTGGAAGTATCTAGCCGGTAAGCTTTTTTATTGCATAATAGAAGAAACTCTTTTTAAAAGGATCCCAGATTGTCACTCTTAGAACAAAGTATAATAAGCACCATCTACGCTTTGCTACTGAGGCGTCAAGTATCTCAATATTGTTTTAATTTTCTCTTTAAAACTTTTGCACATATTTTTTAATTTCAAGGATTAATTTTGATGACAAAAGAATAACTAGGTAAAATTATGAAATGATTCTGTCTATTAGTTCTTCTGGAAAAAAAATTAGACAAGTTTGAAAAGTTTGGCGAGGAAGCATCGGAGCACAAATGGTGCTTGTGATACATTGGCGGGAGGATGACAAGATGTGTGGGAGTTAAATTGAGTTAGAAATATTGTGGAGGAAGAATTTTTTCATTTATTTTTTATGAAGTAATCTATTTGTAGCAAAGACATTGAATCATGTAGACTGTGGGTCCGGCTTGGTTTAGTACAGGCGGAGCGAAGCAAGTCTCTCGGAGCCCCATGATGGGCGGGCGGGGAAGGGGAGAGAGCATGTGTCCCAAGCACTCAAAGAGACTGCAGAGAAGCAATGGAGAATTCATTCCTGCGCTCGGTTTTTCACGAATATCTCGTTTAGAGTCCATTTTCAGACAAAATTCCTAAGAAGAAAAGTTTTAGAACACATAATTTTACACCCGAATAGCATTGTTTCATTTTTCCAAACTAATCATTAACCGAGGAAAAAAGCCTCACAATCCGACAAAAATTCACTGGAGCCGCTACTGCTTGTGCGCAGATGTGTGCAACTGGGACACACGAACTCATCGATGCGGGTCGGTGCCACCACTCATCGGCATGCAAATTTTTAAAAGTTGTCTCGCCTTCCATAACACAGGATGCATGGTCTATGTGATTAAATGATTTTGATTCGTAGGAATTATTTTCCTCTTGAGATTAAACCAGAGTTTGGATGCAATGAAATTTCCATATAACTGGTTCTGCTTGTTGAGTTTTTGTTACCAGCCACAACTAGAAACTGGATATTTTTGTAGACCAAGTATTTGGCGAAAAGTGGTTACCACTAGAAGTGCATAGTAATATTTTGCATGAGGTAAATTCTTCTGATTTCGCATATTTGAAGGACTGAGTTTGCATCGCTCATAGTTAAGTTTTGAATTTGATTTAGATCATCAGAGCAAGATTGTTGTTTAAGTTCAATTTCGAAGTCAATTTTCAAAATTTTCCCCTTGTATTCTTTATAAAATTGCAGATAAAGAAATGTTGCAGTGTTCGAAACTCACCTTTGAGTTTTAGGAGCCATTTGGCGCATCAAGCCTGATTTTTAGGCGCCATTGAAGATTTTTTAGGGGCCAAATTGACTTGTTGCCTATATATTATGGTGCATTTAGTGAAAAGTTAGATGCATGCTGTTTTCATAACAGAACTAGTAAGTAGCTGTAACTTGGGGAAGATAAAAGCACAAATGATGAAATCGTGGAGAAAAGAAAAAGCCCTCACTTGTGGTGCTGAAAATTTCGAACAATCACCTAATATGAAAATTCAGATTTTTAGGGGGCAATTTTTAAGGGCCATGTTGGCGCAGAGCCTTCATGTTTTAGGCGCCATGGACGATTTTTTAGGCGCATTTGGCGCGTTGGTGCCTGTGAGTTTCGAACACTGGTTTCAACTAAGACTTAATGAACTATATCTGAAGCTTTTTGTTTGTGAAATTGAAAACTTAATAATTTTTCCTGTTTACAATGATTTGTTTCCAGATGCCTCTAAATCAATATGTTTTGCAACTTTAATCGGAAATTTAGTTCAGCTTAGTTTGGAGAAAGGCTGTCTCTGCACTCAGATCAACCATGCTGATTCTGAATTCTTTCACATGATTAAAATGGCGATTATAAATCTTCTATCATCCCTTTCTTCAGATGATTTTGTGTTCTTGAAGAAAAGTTTCTTGGTATCCGTTCAAGTAAGTTTTAATTGAATATTTTGTTTCTGCTCTGGTCTAATACTGGCCCAAACATGGGTCCGAAGGCCAATTTCGGGGGAAATTGCTGGTTTTGCGGCATTGTGGTCCAATGCCGAAAAATCCGTCTTTTTCGCCAAAATCAGCCTTCACACCCATTATCATGCCAGCATTAAACCTCCAAAGTGACGGGAAATGACCATAGTAGATGCATTCCGCAAAATCTAGGCCCGCAATGAGCAAAAAATTGTTGAATTTAGGAAATTCAACCAGGGTGGGCTGAAAAACGGCCCTTTTTGTTTATATCCTTCCTATGATGATGTGAAAGTTTAATTTGTATTTATTATTTGAGTTCAATATAAGTGTTTTAAACATCATAATTATAATAAAATCCACTGCAAGTTAAAATTTCCTGTGTTGCATTTGTTTTAGGGTCATCCAAAAAGTAAGGTTCCTTACCTTGTATCTTCCAAACGAAAAGAGATAAATCAAATCGGTAAAAACGATCTCATTAGGCATACTCTAAGCTTTGAAACAGATCATATTTTTGAAAATTGGTTGAGGGGTTTGCGCGGAAACTCAATTTTGCTGCGACAACCTCCAGTCGCTACGTGCCCACCTCTGGAGTAAGGATGCGCGAAGAGTCCATTATTTCAGACTCAGATTGTTGCCGCTGAGCATCATATCAAAAAGGAATTTTAAAGTTTTTATTGAGTGGACCTTACCGTACTTTTTGACGTAGTCTCCACCTCTGTTTTAACATTTCTAGTATCAATATTGCAGCTTCTTGATGCCTTCCGCGTAAAAGCTCTTGCCTTGGCTCCAAAACCAGTCATTGACAGCGATCTGTACTTCCGAATCATTGGGAAACCGCTCTCCACTGGGGAAGTTTTTCAGCTCAGTGAACAGATGAAAGTCATTTGAGGCAAAATCGAGAGGGTACGGAGGATGGAGGTAAATTTTTTCATGCAAAGCAACTGATTTGGAAGCGCAGAGCAGTGTTAATGACTGGTTTCGGTGCCAAGACAAAAGCCTCTACACGGAAGGCATCAAGAAGCTGCAATATTGATACCAGAAATGTCCAAACAGAGATGGAGGCTACGTCAAAAAGTACGATAAGGTCCACTCAATAAAAACTTTAAAATTCCTTTTTGATATGATGCTCAGCGGCAACAACCCTAGTCTGAAATAATCGACTCTCCGCGCATCCTTACTCCTGAGGCAGCGACTGGAGGTTGTCGCAGCAAAATTGAGTTTCCTTGAGAACCCCTCAGCCTACATTAAAAAATATGGGCTTGTTTTAAATTATAGTAAGCCTAATAAGACAATTTTTACTGATATGATTATTATTGATCAATTATTACTAATCTCCTTTCGTGGGGAAGATACAAGGTAGGGAACCTTACTTTTTGGATAACCCTCATAATTATTGGTAGGCAAGTCCCTTTTCAAAGAAAAATCAGAGTTGATTTCTTGCGACCATCAAATAATGACATAGGGTGTCTACTGTATGAAAATGTGCGGGAACACTGGAGAAAGCTTTTTGAAAGTCGGTACGGAAGTATAGAAAATGTGCAGATTTTCAGTGATGAGGTGGATTTCCAAGATTTTTATGATGAACTTGAAAAAACATCCTCCAGGGTACTGATCCAGCCGATCATGAGCCTGTTTGGCTCATCCAGATGTTACTGGCATCTTTTTTGAACAGCCTCAGAGTGAGTTGGTAACTCCAGGGTCTCCAGCGGTCTTGAAAATCTGAAAAGTCTAGGAATTCACAGCGACCCGAGAAAGTCAGGGAATTTTACATGTAGCATATCAGCTCAGCAACTTCAGCCAGTGCCTTAAGAGAGCGTAAACAATCCAGGAGTGTTTTTCTCCACAAATTAAACCTGTAGACGTGAAAATTTTGTTCAATGTTCTGCAAAAGTCACAGCGATGAAAACAAAAAAAATCTGATCGTGAGTGAAAATTTTGTCCGGGGGTCTGGGGGCTGATAATTGAAAATGATGGACAAAGAAGACTATAGGGAAAACAGAGCGATCCCATCAGTTGAAGCAGGTAGTTTTTTTAGACAAAGAAAATGATGAACTAACTAGACCACATTTTGCTAGTAGGAACTACAATTTTTGGCTCACTTTACAAGCAACATTTGTATGATTACTTTCCGTTTACACATTAGTGTTTATGCGGATGAGCCAAAAATTGTAGCTCCTAATTGCATGATGTAGTCCAACCTATGGATCTCTCGTAGGTTGCTCTTAGTTGGTTATTTCCTTTGCTCATGGAAATCACCTGCTCCTACCAGTAGAGTTGTTCCATTTTCCATTTCTTCTTTGTTTATCAGTTTTAGTAATCAGCCTACATGAAAAGTAAGGAAATTAAGACATTTTGGAGTCACGGAATCAGAAAATGAAAAAATTATAGGACCCCTCTAACCCTCGTTTTTGTTTTGTTCGTGTTTTCAGGGGTCGCTTCAAGCTCTGGAGATAGCTCAAATTTCTCAGGACTGTAATTTAGACGTTTTTCTTGAATTCAGGAATCTATTGAGGTCAACCATTGATGTTCATCTACCACCATGATTGAAGTATGCCAGCTAATTTAAAATAATTTTTTTCTGTCGTTTCTCAATAATTTTCTACAAGGGAATTTCAAACATTTCCTCGCAGTGATCATAGGTTTACATAGGAGATTTGATCAAGCTAAACTCCATCAACAGCTTTAAAAACCCCTGTGCAATGAATGAAGTTTAGCAATTTTGCATTTTTTGCAGGTAAATAATTCTGATTGTTTTTAAGTTGCGTAGATTTATTCTTAGCAACAAGTAACGTTTAATTCATGGTTATTTCATTTTTTTGGTAAGTAGAATGTAGCCAAGTGCTAGAAATAATGTAACATTTTTTTGAAAAACTTAAATTTTATTGATAAAATTTGACGGAAGCTTTTTGAAGCAAGCGCTTCAAAGTCAGGTTTTGATTATCAAGAGTGTTTTGATCTGTGAATTGTTATCAATTGTTACCACTGTCTAAAATTAAGTTATGACCATTGTAATTAATACTTTGTGACCCTGACGATGAAGCGCTTGTTTCGAAAAGCTTTGGTCAAATTTTATCAATAAAATGTAAGTTATTCAAAAAAATGTAACATCATTTCTAGCACATGGCTACATTCCACATACCATAAAAATTTGAAGTGCTACTACCTTTTGGATATTGTGCAGAAATGCAATGTTCGCTAAACTTGAAGGTTATTTCAACAAGAAATGAATTCTATTGAGATATTTATTTACCCAACTCTTATCCCTCTACCTTGCCAGTTTGATGGCTCGCCAGTAATGGGCATATTTGATACTATGATGAAATGAACAACTTTGACAGTAAAAAAAATGAAAAATATTTATTCTGGCAATGTACTTAATGTGCTGGCTTAGGACCCTGAGCTGACTAGAACTGAGAGTCTAAATGGATGCCGGAAAAACTAAAGCTAGAACATTCCACAATTGTGTCCGCGTAAAATTACATGAGATTACTGCTTCCTGTCAGATATCACTTGAGATCTCTTGTGAACTTAAGGGGCTTCATATTCTGAAACTAAATCTAAGATCAAGTCAATAATTTCTGGGCTGACAACTGAGGGAGTATATATTTCATTTCCATCAAACATATTTTATTCCGTTGGAACTATGTATAGGAAATTTTGATTTGGCCTCGGAACTTTCTTGACATGATGTGAGGAGGGTGGTATTTAAGTGGTTGTAGGAGAATGATGTAAACTCAAGCGTCTAACTGCGGGACGAGCTGCGACTAACAGACAGGTCCATATTGCGTCTGAAATGGAGGACCTAGCTGCGCTTTATATGGGGACTTCCCCGTTTTGAAGCAAGAGCTTACCTTAGGACTGAACTTATGAAACTGAATACCCAGAGGCCTTGCTGGGCCCTTTTTATAGCTGATTGCCAGCCTCCCTTCAAGTTGGCATTGGCAAGTTTGGAGATGGGAGACTGGACGATCGAGCTGTTTCCCATGGCCATCAGCGGAAACTGCCTCGCAATTACTTAAGAGCGCCAAGCGGGGCGGCTCGGCTCATCACCACTTGAGATGATGGATGGACCCGGGTCGCGCTGCTACACCTTACCCACTCGATGAAATTGCAAAGCAATTTGCGAAAATTGACCTGGTTATAGGTATAGGGCGCTCGAGGAGCTGCCACTATTAAACTCTAATTGAATATGAGCTTGGGCGCCTAAGCAGCTGCCTCAGCTCTAAAATGTTAAAAGAAAATTTAATCTGTTTTTGGCTCAAGTCATTATTGTGAGCGCTAACAAGCTGCTGCAGTTGTAACCATAATGACTTACTTGAAAATGAAATATGTGTATAATTTGACTGCAAAATTTGGTCAGCAGTACTTAGTCGCTAGAATGTTAAAAATACATCAGATAAACAAACTAAAGAATGCTCTGACAAGCCGCCACTTTTATGGAATAAAAATATTAGTGAAAATCAGTGATTGTTTCAATGTATGCCAAATTAAGCTGATAAATAAGGAGGGCATTACTGAGCTGCCGAGAAAAACTAATACAAATACATAACATAATTACTCTAAAGAGGGCGTTAAAAGCTGCTGTGTCAATAGAATAAAGATATTAGTAAAAAACAGTTATTGTTTCAATTTATGCCAATTTAAGCTGATAAATACGGAGGGCATTACTGAGCTGCCGAGAAAAACTAATAAAAATGCTTTTGATAATTACACTAAAGAGGACACTGAGAAGCTGCAGTGGTAATTTTTTTTTTTTACACTTCAAATATCCCAAGAGGGATAATCCGACGCTTTGTCGTCCCTAGAGCCTAAACTCCCCTTCGTCCCTTATCAAGCCAGCCCCAGGTAACCATTGTTTGAGACCATCAAACTGTCAATACTGGTTGAAAATGATTATTCAAGAATTATTCTCACTATTGCAGAGAATATGCATTATAGTGCTTTGAAAAAACATGCCAGATCTGGTTCAAGAATATTAGTCGATCATCTCTCATTCACATCGAATTTGTGCGGTTTGAGAGCATCTGCCAGGGTTTTGATCTCAGAGTCGAGTTCCCTCAACTCAATCAACAACCTGGCCAGATCTCTCATACGGTTTGTGACCTGTCGCAGCCGTTGAAAGGCTAGATGACTGCCAACAATTTCTGATCCAAAGAGACAGATTTGTCTATCATTTTTGGCCACCAATGCTACCACATCATTCTGGAAAATGGGCCATACTTTTTGTCGTAGTAAGTAACTTACACCACTTCCCTTCTTCTTCTTCTTCTTCTTTGATGCTTTATTGGCTTCATGCTCCGGTGTGGAGCCCACAGCCATCTATAGACACATTGTGGTAGGTAAGTGGTTAAAATGTTGAGGAGAGAGTTAGGTGAGGGGAGAGGGAGTAGATATGCAAAGGGGACTTAGGGGGTACCAACACCATCTTCACGCCACAAGACCCACTGTGGCGACTAAACCTATGGTAGACTGGGTCCTGGAAAACATACTAAGTGAACATTAGGTATAAAGGTAGATTTGGAGGATTTTGTAGGATTAGAGAGATAGATGGATGTACTTAAAGGGCGGGTGTGGGAATAGCTAGGGGGGAGGAGAATTGGGTGGTGAAGGGCTTGTGATCATTACAGGCTTTTATAAGGAAATATTATTCTGGTTTAAGAAATCGGTGATTATTTTATAGATAGAAGGGAGAGGGTTATGAAGAATAGACGAAATATTGAAGGGGGGGAAGTAATTAGCGTTAATTAAATTTTGAAAGAAGGCATCGTGTTGTAGTAGGGGGCACTGAAAGAAGATATGGTTGAGGTCGCCTGTTAGTCCGCAATTGCACAGATCAGAAGCTCGTAAATTTATTCTGTGTAGATGGGAGGGATATAGACCGTGTCCTATTCTGGCTCTAATAAGATTTTTAATGTCTTTTCTATTCCAGTGAAATTTGGAGAACCAAGGGCGGGAAGAGAGATGCGGCATCAAAGTTTTGAGTCTTTGGCCTTTCCAGGTGCAGTCGTGCCATTCTTTGGCCCAATCTAAGAAACTCTGTTTTTTAATGAAGGGAATTAGTTGTTTGTAATAGAGTTTTCCTTCAACCTTGTGAGCAAGTGGAAGAAGTTTTGTCAGTTGGTCAGCTCTTTCGTTACCTGGAATGCCTACATGGCTAGGGATCCCGAGTAAGGAAATATTGAGGTCCTGGAAGTTAAAAAGGGCTTTTTTAATGTCATATATAGTAGGATGAAGGTCGGAAGCCTGATTGATTAGATTGGTTAGTACACTATGTGAGTCTGTGCAGATTAGAACATTGTAATAATTATGAAGAGTTATATGGTTGATAGCTTCACTAATAGCAAATGCCTCAGCATCAAAAATGGAAGAGTAAGTAGAGAGACTAAACAATTTAAAGAAGTCATTGACAACAAAGACTGAGGTTGTGTAGGTATCTGTTTTAGCTCCATCAGTATAATAGTGTAAATAGTTAGGATACTTGAGATTCACATGTGCCAAGAATTCCGTTTGGATAATGTAGGGCATGATGGAGTTTTTATTTTTGACGTTTAGAAAATCCACATTAGGTTGGAAAAATTGGAAGGATGGGGACTCTGATAAATTTGGAGGCTTTGAGAATTTTATTAAGTCTTTTTCAAATTTTTTTATAGAGTGCCAGCGGGAAAGGAATAAAGGATACTGTTTGTTTGACCACCAAGGGCTGTTAAGTACTGAAGATTCCAGCATTTTGGTGTCGTTAATTATAGAGTTCTGTTGAAAGCTCATGGCTTTGAGAAAGGTTTTGTCGGTGAGGTAGTTAAATCGGTATTGGATCGGAGGGATAGATGCTTCAGCATTTAAATTATTGGTAGGAGTAGAGGATAATGCGCTCAATACTTTACGGATACATTTATTTTGTATTTTATTTAACTGGTCCATTATAGAAAAGTTATTACAGTAAATAGGGAGACCAAAGTCTAGAATAGGTCTGATCATATTAAGGAATAAGAGTCTTGAAATATTTTGATTAGCGCCCCAATTCGCTCCGAGTAAGAAGGACATGAAGTTCAGTTTAGACTCTACTTTACTTTTAATATGACGAAGATGCTCTTGCCAATTCATTTTTTGATTATAGATTAAGCCCAAATATCTTACAGACACTGACACTGGAAACTCGTAGTTTAGGAGTTGTATAGTTAGGTTTTTAGGAATTCTACGGTTAGTGAAAATTATGATTTTAATTTTATGAAACGACAGATCAAGGCCCAAATCGATAATTGTGTTATATACTTTAATGAAGTCAGAGGCTAATTTGTTTAGTGCTTCTTGGAGATTATGTTTTAAAATGTATATAACCGCGTCATCCGCATATTCTGATATAGAAGAGAAGGACAAGATTTTATAGAAGCATAAAAAATTTAATATTTTCACTTTAGAAGGATAAGAGAGTCATTCTAAATTGGAATATATGCAATAAATCAAAACTATGATTTTTACTCACGTCAAGAAAAGACCTTCGGTTGCTACTATCTGTTTTGATGAAGTATCTTGCGCCATCGTAAAGAAGGTCCCCGTTGATGCTGGTGGCCATCGGCTGATGAAGCACGTCGTATACTGATGGGGGCAGCATAGATTGAATGTGCCGCCCGCAAGTCACAACTTTGAGCTTCTTATTGAAGCAGAAGAGCCCGATAACATCGGCGTCAACTTGGACCATTATTTTAGGAGGGTTTAGTTGCGGGAGTTGTAGTTGATAGCTAGAAGCATATTTCTCATTTTTTAAAACTCTTATTTTTCTTTTGGATCCTTTGAAGGAAGGATTCAGAATTAATGGTTCAACTGTGCAATACTTCTGGTGCCTATACTACGTTCTACTTAGATACATATTACCGCATCCTGACCCTGGTACATTAGTGTCAATGGAAACTGACTTCAGTTTGGAATTTGTGGCAAGTCTATTGGTCGGAAGTAATTCAAAATTATGTTCTGTTTGCTTTTTATTGTACAGAGAATTTCCTCTAACTCTCAGTTTCGTAGAAATGTCCAGTTTTTTCTTCGATGCTTTGGCTTTTTTGTACTCCCCAATCAATGGCAGGTTTTCAAGAAGGTATTCAATATCCTTTTTTCTGGGGGAGGTCAATCTCTCTCTTTCAAGACTTGGTTTTTGCGCCTGGAAGCGCTGAGAACACCCCTTGAGTTAGCTCGGTCGGGCTGGCCCAGTGTGATAGCACTCCGGGCGATCTGGACATGGAAGTCCACAGTTGCCTTTTGCGCTTGGAGGCGCCGTAGATACCCCAAGAGACGGCTCCTCGGGCTGGCCCAGTGCGGAAGCGCTCCGGGCGATGTGGGCATGGAAGACCCGCAAGTCGTTGGAGCCGCGGAGAGCTCGGCTAGAGTTGGACCAGCGCGCCGATGGAGTAGAAGTGTAGGTACGTGGAGGTACTTACCGTAGGTAGCTTCTTCTTAGGCGGTTGAGCTGCGCGACCGCTCGCTTTTTATAGCCGCGGCGCGACGCGACGCGTGCCCGCGTGATGAGTGCGTGGGACGCGGGACCGGTTGCGTAAGCAGCACACAGCGAACGGTCCGGCGGTACGCGCGATTCTGGCATCCAAGCCGATTGCCAAGTCCCTGAAAAAATTGAGTTAGAAAAAATTCCCCAAAAAATTCTACAGCCTGAAAATTTGCAGACAGAGGAGGCTGGTATAAACATACCGCCCACCATGAACCCGCAAAAGGGTTTCACAAGTAAAGGAGGAGACAAAGGCAAAGAGAGAAGAAAAGAACAAAAATTGACAAGGCAAGCTATCAAAATCTATGAATACAGATCATCTCAAAATCACAATACAAGAAAAAATACAAGAAAAATACAAGAAACAACGGAGCTCAGCGTCGCTAGTCCTTCCTAGAGTACCGAGATCCGGAGCGTGGCTGATCCTCCCTGGGGCTCCTTTGCCGGGGCTCTGGACGTCGCCCGCCGTCCTACTTACTGCGCCACCGTCTGTCCTCTTCCTGCTGGTCTTCCTGGTGTTGCCTCGCCTTAGCGCGCCACCGACACGCCGCTATTTCCAGCTTGCGCCCCATCCAGGGCGGCAGCGCTTTGGATGGCGCCTTTCCGAGGTACTCCTCCACAAGACTCTCCACCATCCAAGCTGGGGTCTGGAGCTTGGCGTCGGCCATCTTGATGACCTAGGGGAACCTCGCAAGGACCGGGGAGACAGCGTGGAGGACGGAGAGGCGATGGGGGAGAGGATCACGACAGAGGGAGACACAAGATTGATGGGGGATCCGTAAACGGGGGGAGTTACGGCGGATCTGGGTACAGCTTCTGGACGAAAAGCAGGTAGGGTAGGCGAGAGGGACGGCAGGAAAGGAGACGACGAGGGTGGCGTCCCGATTGGCTCGGGGTTCCGCAAGAGGAGATCCTCTATATCCAGCGTTACTTGCGTGGGCTCATGGAGGGCCGGTCTAGGTCCGTCGACCGCCGACTCATCTGCCGCTCCGGCTGAGGCAGCTGCCCGGGGCCGAGGATTAACGCATTTCACTGGGATGCGGCTGACCCTCTTGGGTAGCTTCCAGAGGCTGCCTGAGGTGGCCTGTATGGAGGGGTCGGCGCGTACCACTGTCCTGGGATCCACCGCGTCATCGCGAGGTCCACAGCACTGTCTTCGTGGACATCAAAATTAATAGCTTGTACAAGCTCTGTGCGAGGCGGAACTGTAACATAATCATTGCCTCGAACTTTACCCAAATCGGCATGCAAAGGTAATTCAATTAATGAGCCATTATGAATGAAACGCAAAATCCAGGATTCGTAATCCAAAATACACTTGTTATCTATTGAGAAAATCCCGTCCCAGAATTCCATCTGTTCTT